ATTATCTTTGTCTGTATCATGTATAAACATCTTGTACCTTTATTCTCCTTCCGAGTTTCTGAAGTCTGTAAAAAACAAAAGATGTTTTAGACAGTCTACTCCATCACCACTGTAGTTTCAGCTTATTTTCAAAATCAAAATAACTTTACCAGTGATTTGTAAAGACTGGACTTTGGATTGATCCTCATAAACTGGAGAAGATCTTGCATAGTCCACAGCTTTGGGGGGGGGAGAGGAGGGGAAGGGGGAGAGAAGGAGGAGAGCATAACTTAGAAAAAGTTAACTAATTCAAAATCATTTCAAATATGTCATAGGCACTATTTTATATTTGTAGAATGTTTCCATTCAAGAAAGATCTATTTATCACCTTGTAAAACAATTTTCAGTGGGCTGCTATTCTGGTACTTCATTTAATTATTTCCACTACCCAAGACATGACATACAGCAGTCAGCATGTAGTTATTACATGATCAACTGAAGCTGTGAAAAAGAGATAGTTTAGTTTCCTCCCTGCCCTGAATACACACTTTTGCTACTCTTCTTGCCCCTTTTCTTGATTTATCACAACCAGTCAGATGAGCTCACTAAGCACTCACCAGGTCAAAAGATTAATTTTCAGTTAGAAACAGCTTCACCCCATCACGTACTCATAGAGGAGAAAAAGTGAGAGGGCAGGGACTGTACTTTTCAGCCATAGATTCTACGCAAAACAGCTTAAACTGACCATGAACCACATTTTCAGGGAACTGAATGGCCAAACAAGAGGTTAGCTTTAGTAGGGATCAGTTCCCCAAGTGCTCTGTCACACAGTCTCACAGTCATGTCAGACTGTGGCTATGGGTGAAGCAAGTGCAATTTTAAGAGGCTTGTGCTGTCTCTCTAAAAACCAGCATTATTAGCTTATTGCCAGCATTTATGAAAACGACCCTAAATAAAGAAATCCTTTATGGAGATAATCAGAAGCTGTATTTGTGTTTGTATTTCACTATCATAAAAAGGTTTGTTTTGTTTTTTTTTTAATTTTGTTGGAATATGACAACACCCAGAATGCAAAGCTCACAGAAGTCTTAGAAGAGGTAAATTACTGAACTCACCTTCTTCTTTTCTAAACCACTTTCTGGAAAGAAAACAGAAAGTGAATACTCATAGCCACATCTCTGTAGATGATCTGCTACCAGACTGTTGGAAGCTGTGATCAAAACTGAACTCCCTTCACTTGGAACAGCCTGTGGCTGAAGTTCTCCACTTAAAATTGGGTGCATTAGTTCATGGATTAGCTGGTTTCGGAGCTGTGTCTGATATAGAAAAGACATTATAATCTCAGTTTACATGCTATTTAATGAGTTTTTACTTTTCAAAATTCACAGTGAGTCTCGTATTACTTGTACAAGTTACATTACAACCTATGTAACAGAAATGGGCAGACCAGCGTTGACAAAATGCAGAATAGTGCTTGGCACACTTTGCCTTTCTTGAAAACATTACAACGGTGGCTACACTGAAGTTCGACTTTCTCTCACAATGTATCAAACGTAGAACTGAAAAGAAGTCTTGCTCTGTCAAGAACTTGCATAACCTCCACTCTATCCCCAGCTTCAGTTTTAGATCACTGCCTTCCTGTTCTCCTTCTCACTGGCTTAAATAAAGCCTGCCTGATGTGGGCTCAATTTCAGGTGTACTTGGAAAACTCACTAGTCCTGTTCTGAGTCTCATATTGAGAAGCTGCCAATACCATCACAAAAGCAGATGGGAAAATAAACAGGAATTTCAATGTCTTTAAGACAAATTTTACAGGGAAGCAAGAGTACTAGCTTAAAAACCCTACAGGCACTAATAATAATTAAACAGCATTTTCTATTCATTATTTGCATCCTATAAAATTACAATAGAACAAAAAGAGTAACAAGGAATCAGAAAGTCTACCTCCTACAAAAAGATGTATGATTTTTATTATATAATGATAGAAATTGTTTATAGTGTACTAGAAGATTACAACAGAAACAGCATTTTAAGCTTTCAACAGCAGGTATGCAATAGTGACAAAGATGATTAAAGAAGTAGCGTCTTACAAAAACAGGACAAAATACTTACCAAAAGTTAAGAAACCTAAATCATCAGACCAGCCTGATATTTTTGCATGGCTTTCTACAGAAATTAGGCTGGCAACAGAAATCAAGACAACTGAAAAAATGTTTTCCTTATTCATTTCTGAACTTGTCCAGTTTCACTCAACTTAGACACAGGTGATACTGTCTCAAAAACAACTGAGACCAACAACACCTTACACATCTCATGACAAAGCACAGGTGGAAAACACAGGGCTAAATCACCATCCCTACTATGGGAAAGGAAAGCAGAAATCAGTTATTTACATGTTGGACATTCAGCTCCAGATCCACTCTGCCTCTTACAAGCAGAGACAGACAGATAAGACAACAAGAAATTTGAGAGCTTTCTCATTAGAAGATGTAATCCATAAGAAATCAGTAAGAATCCGTAACTGTATTAATCCTTCAGCTCAGAAAAAGACTGTATACTCTTCTATACAAGGAAAATGAAGCACAAAAACAGACTTAAATAGCTTGCCACCTGACAGACTATTAGTTAAGTCAAACAAGACACGAAATGGTTCAAGAACTGCAAGCTTTGTATGGAAATCACTGAGGGGAAAAACAAGTTACCCTGAAAAAGAGAATTGTTGGCCGTAAGATTATCAATCGCATTCTTAAAGTATAGATTAATTTTTTTTTTTTAAGGCAGTCAGATGATTTTTAAAGACTAGCAAAAAACTGAAACTGCATGAAATACATTTCAGCATTTAAAGCCTGATACAAATTTCTGCTGTAACACAAAGGATTTCTTGTTTCAAAAAGCGAGATGTGGTTGTAAACAATCCAATAATGACAAACACTCTAAATGCAACATGTTTCACGAAGAAATACATGCAGCCATCCACAGGCTCCCTCACAAAAATAAGAAAAAATTAACATAATTTTAAACTCTGCCTGGAAAGCTCATAACAATCACAATCTAATTCCTTTAAAACAAGGGTGTAAGACTTCAAAGTGATGCAAAGGACTGCTGGGGTAACCAGCAATGAGACTACTGCCCCTCGACTTAACTTAGCACTGTAGAACAGAATCCTGAAGAATAGGTGTGACTGCTGCCTATAAATCATCAAGAAGAGTAAGAGCTATGTAACCTGAAAGATACTTTCAGCACAATATAAAGGCAAGAGCAACCATAAATAAACCCAGGCTACAAACCAGAACAAAGCTTCATTCTTGAGCACAACCATAGTCTAAGATATTTTCCTGAATAAGCAGACAGGAGGAAATCAGCTCAAATGACTCTATGACTCAAAATAGTTTTAAAACAGAACTGTAGTATTTTAGGATGATAATTCCTATAGCATGCTTACTTACAGTAGATAATAGACTCTATGCCCTATGAAATCCTTCCCAATCCTGTATTTTCATTTACTCCTCTCTTCCCTGCTTGACTTTTTTCGTCAAGCATGCAAATTCAAAGACCTGATACAGACCTTTAACCCCCCTGAAAAAGACTCAGACTAACCCCCCCCAAAAAAAAGCTGAACACAAATTCGGCTGTGACAAGAAAAATACATTTGGGAAGAGGGTGAAACGCATTTATTTAGCATGACTTTTACTGCTTTCAATGTTAAGCAGTACAGTGAATCACAGGCAGCACCTGCTGAGAATAAAGCACACCTTAAGTGTGTCCAGTACACCTCGGTTCTTAAAAGTCTGATAGAGCCTTTTCCGGAGCTCATCCTGGGAGAGCGTCTCCTTTTCAACCGAAGCCATCCTGCCCTACAATATCAGGAAACAGAAACAAGGAAGCAAACAAAAAGGCGCGTTATTGACTCCCAGCTCGATCCACGGCCGCCGAGTGCCCCACCTGCCCGGCCTCTCCCTCAAGCAGGTCCAGGCTTTGCCGGGCAGCCTCCCCCTACCCACGGGGAGAGCCCCCGGCCCCGGCCCGCTCCCGTGCGCTGCGCCTCAGCCCCTCCGGTTCCTGCCTGAGGAGCGGCAGCAGGCGGTCCCCGTGTGTCGCCGGCAGCCCGTGCCACCGCGCTCTGGGAGCCGGGCACCCAGCACGCTGCCACCCACCAGCTCCCACCGCGCGACGGCTGCCGGCGGACGCTGAGGCGTCACTGGCGCGACGGATGCTGAAGGAGCATTTCCGGGAGGCCGTTGGGAGCCGTTGGAGACTGATCGTCGCAGGGTAGGTGGTGGGCCCCTGCGGGCCTAGACAACCCTTCTACCCCCCCCCCCCCCCCCCCCCCCCCATTCTCTCGTTCTCCCTTCCTCTTTCCCTCCCTTCCTTCCTCCCTCCCTCCCTGGTTCCGCGGGCAGCTCCTGCGGCACCTGGCCCTTCCTCTGGGGACGGCAGCCCCGAGTGGGCCTCAGGGTGCTGGAACGCGGCGGCAGGGTGCACTGTCCCGGGTAGCTCCGGAGTCCCCAGGGATGGGGACTGCAAGGCCAGGTTGGGGGCCTTGAGCAACCTGATGTAGTGGGAGGTGTCCCTGCCCGTGGGAGGGGATTGGAACTCGATGAGCTTTAAGGTCCTTGCCAACCCAACCATTCTGAGCTTCTATGGAGCCGCGCTATGGGACCCTGACATCTACCATCCTTCCTCTTTCTACCGCCTATTTGTAGGGCCCCTGTGGGAGAGACAGGCGAGGAGTCCTCAGAGGCAGATGCACCTCATTACTTCACGGGATCGTTGCTGTCCGAGTCATGGGGAGGAATGTCAGGGGATAGATCAGTAATTTAGGTTCACTTCCAGGAGGTGTTTCACTTCATAAAGATATTTTCTCCCCCTATTTGAGTATAAATGGACATACCTAGGAAAATGCTCATCTCCTTTTAGCTTATGGTAATTATGAATAGAAAGCATGTTAACTGATTTTTAAGAGCATTGTCACATGGGTTGAGTTTGTAGACTCATCAGCATGTCTGTCTTTTTCTTGTAAGGAACATTACTTTGGAGAATGTCTGGAAGTTTCTACTTTGTGATAGTTGGTCATCATGATAATCCCATATTTGAAATGGAATTTCTGCCTCCTGGAAAAGTGGAGTCCAAGGTGTGTTTTTTTTCCCCTGTGATACTCCTATGTTGTAATTATGATGCTTTTTCTTTTATAATTTTATGCTGCGTTAGAAGCATAGCCAGGATTTTGTTTGTAGTGTTATTAGTGTCTAGTGTTTTCTGCTTTTTTGCAGAAACTTTGTCACAGGGAGTAAAACTCTGGCATTCTGGAGTGTCTTAAAAGTTCATTGTCAGATCATACTAGTTCTTCATAAAACATGGTTTCCTTAAATATTTGATGCTGTATGGTGAAGAATATATGTGCTAGTCATGCTTGCTCTTAGGATGTAGAGCTTTTGTAATAGCTGTTTGTTATTTAATGCGTGTGTAGTTCTCTAAGGCCCCTGTAAATAGTTATAAGATAAAGTGAGGAACATATGTTTGAAAGCTCTATTTAGTCCCTTATTTTTTATGCTGTAAACCATCTTATTTTTTAGTCATCCTCATTAGTCATATTTGCTTTTAAGTAAGAAAGTTTTAAAGCTTGTATTGATAAATACAAGTTTTTAAATGTGAGAAATGTCAGACTTATTGAGTAAGTAGCGTTTCCAGTGGGAAAAGAACAAATCTGGTATTACACTGAGGAAAAAATAAATTGCAGAATAAAAGGCCATGGGTTTGTGAGTTTGTCAAAAAATTGCAGTCTGTGCTGTCACTGATTTGAACAGCATGGTGTGATCTGTATTTCGATCTAGTGTCCCATTAAGATAAGGCTAGTTGGACCATAATCAGTAAGTGTGGGGATGTGTCAGTGGAAAAATTCATTTTCTGCATTCTGCTATTGGAAATAGCTTGGCTTGGGTAAGCTTCTTGTCTGACTGAGGTTGAAATACTGATTTTTCTCCTAAGAGTTAATCTAAACTTGCTGTACAGTGAAAGAGAATTATTAGACATTCATGTTTTGGCAGTTGGCGCTTCTGTTTCTGAGACATGCCATTAAAGAATTAATTCATTTCAGATGCACTTAGTAATGGACTTCAGATAACGTAAGTGGTTTGCATAACATACATGGTAAATCAGCATGAGCTTTTGCCCCTTAAACTTCACTACTTAGTCTCTTCCTCGGTATGGTTTAGTGGAACTTGGAAAGCTATTAATGCCCTGAGCCAAACTTGGTTTTTGGGGAAGACATGGTGCACTGAGAGAAACAGTGCAAGTCCACTTACGTTTCCAGTCTAGTATAAGCTTACAGTATGGTTTAGTCCCATCTTCTTCACAGGTGTCCTCTGGTGTTGTAGTTCATGTGCAAAGTAAATGGCTCTTTGCCTACACAAGTCTTGCAGTGTTGGGGCCAAACACTGTGATCATTCTTATGAAGGCCATTCATGTTTGTTATAGGAAGAGGTGCAATTTACATCTGCAAGCATACATTTAATACAAGTTGCAGGAAGCCTTTCTGCGCTAGCTCTTAGGAAAAATAAAAATCCCAACAGAATAAAGCAATCCTATGTTTCTAGGCAAATAACCTTAAAATCCAGAATCTTTAGGTGATAATTTTATCAGTGTATCTGTCCTCTGTATTTCTCTGCTTTCCCCATCTGTCCCCCAATTCTATACATTGTAGTATTTTACAGTGTTTTAACACACAGTGTTTTACATTTTAACATTTACACATTTTAACATTGTATTGCTCAACTTCTGCCAAATTTGACAGGGACCTTACGGTGAAAAAACACTAAATTGCTGTAAATTTCACAAAACCAAGTGACTGGAAAGCGGAGGTCTCATAAAAGCAGAATTTTATGAGGGTCTCTGTTGTGGAATAATTTTGCAGCCAGAGATTACTCACTGGTAAACAAAAGAATTCATGCTTGAATTCATTCCTGAAGCATAAATACAGGCTTTACTGGTTTTACTACTCTCACGGCTGGTTTTGTGATGACCTTTTATGACTTTTATTTCTCTTGAAACTGAGTATCATGACAATAAGGTACTAGTTTCACTTACAGGATGGCATATATGTAACAGAAAAGAATGGTGTATATATGACTAGTTGTTTAGCAACTTGAGCAAACTATTGTTTATATTTCACTCCTTTCACTGAATTACTAATCCTCTGTCTTCTGGAAATACATTAGGATGATCATCGCCATCTCAACCAGTTCATTGCCCATGCTGCTCTTGACCTAGTAGATGAGAACATGTGGCTTTCTAACAACATGTACCTGAAGACTGTGGACAAGTTTAACGAATGGTTTGTTTCGGCTTTTGTCACAGCTGGACATATCCTTCCCTCTTCTCTTTCCATATATTTATATAGGTAAATCCTTTTGCCAGAAAGGGACACGTTAGATAAAATGAGTTTGGAACAGATTTCACTGGCTGCTAATCACTGTTATAGTTAGAGAGAGTCACCAGCTTCAAGATAAATTAAGAGGCACAGAAGGTGTTTAAAACTGGGACCAGTTGGAAAGGTGGATTTTTCTCTTTTGGAAGAGCTGAAATAGCCTAATGAAATGTGGAGCTTACCTGGAACAGAGGAAAGAGGTATGAATAGTGCTAGACAGGAGAAAGAGGAATAAACATGCTTGGTGTCCCCCACACCCATCTTGACAATGCAGCGGCAAGGCTCAATCTCATACACAGGTCATCCTAGAAGTATTTGTTGTGAAATATTTGTTATACATGGCAAGTAACATTGAATGCCATTTTAACTTCAGGGGTATATGGCAATGCTGCTGAGAGTGTCATCGCCATTCAGAATTGTGTAGCTTTAAAAAGAATAACCTTGGCTTATTTTCAAATAGGGGAGTTTTTAAACAGAAAGGTAATGCTTTCTAAATTTCACTGCTTCAGTTACTTCTTTAAAATGCTTCCTCCTATATAGTCACTGCTGTTTCATGTACAGCTAAACATTTTAAGTGTATGCAGAATTAGGTGTAAATGCTTATCTCAGGATATGTTAAATGTCTCTCTTCTTTGTGAAAGATACATTTTTCTTAATTGCTTTACATATGAGATTTATAATGCTTCATGATGTAAGGCAAGAAGATGGAATTAAGAACTTCTTTAATGACGTATATGACTTATATATAAAGGTAAGAACCCACTTCCTATGGTCTCACAGCAGTACTTCTAGGTGTGTTCTGCTATAGATGCTCAGGCATGCCTGTATTAGCATATTTTCTCATGGGGGCCAGTGTAAGTGGAGAAGAACCCATGCAGTCCACATGAGCCAGAGTTGATAACATAAAGGCTGTATTTTCTATTACGCAGAACAGATTTTTCTGACTTCTTATAAATTGTGCTCTTTCAGAACTTATGCTTCATGATGGTCCCATGATTTTGGGGCAGTATTGTGTCATTCATGGGAACAGGGAAAGCAAAAGGCTGTTGTACAAAAGCCTGATCAAAGTGCTTTGCTCTCAGAACAAGTGGCACGTGTTCTCTCAGCCTGGAGGTACTTCCACTAGATGGGGCAATCACGACAATCCACTGGAAGAATGCCACTTTGGCCTCCACAGAGCACTCAACCAACACTTATTTCCAAACTAGAAATTTCCACCAGAGTCATGATGGATTTGCTCTGAGGAGCTGCTATAAGGGATTGCTGTGCATGTACACGGGGTGAATGGAAGGGCCTGGAAATCAAGCAACTATTCAGGAGCTCCCTGCTCTCAAGTGGCTTTAAATAGGCTGAAAGCTAATAGTAGCTGTCATCTGAAGTAACATTTGCTAGTGCTAGGCATTGTGCTTATTGATGACTTTTTCTTTTTTCCTCAGTTTGCAATGAATCCATTTTATGAACTTAATTCTCCTATTCGATCCAGTGCCTTTGAAAGGAAAGTACAGTTCCTTGGGAAGAAACACCTGTTAAGCTGAATAAATGAGTTTCCTGAGTGAGTGCTTTTTCCATACTTCCCCAGTTATTTAAACTGTAGTTCTGGTTATTTCTCAGCATGTTTGATATTCATCTTCTGAGGATTGACAAACTGGATACTGAAGAAGCTTTTTTGTTGCTGTTGCCAATAGAAATCAGAACAGCCAAGCTTCTCTGGTTAAAACGTGTAACTTAAGAAGTTTCCTTTTATGTGCTACGGAATAGGTACATTGAGACGTGGGTGCCAGTGCATATGCAAAATGTAAGCTTCTTATATGTGGTGGGAGGAAATCAGATCTAAACACAAGAAACATCTCCAGTCATGCAATTTAATACAAATAAATAGTAAAAGGGAATTCTTGACTGTTTGGCTTAAGGGGTTAACTTTGTTATACACTTTTCTACTTACTGACATTTGCTAGAGAACATACTCTGCAGGTTAATTAGACTAACCCTACTCTCTGTGATATTAAATTAGGTCCATGTTTATATTGTAATGTGTAATGTATGTATTATAAAGTGTTTAATAAAAAGAGGGTGTATCAGCAAAGCTCTGTCTTCAATATTTCAATTTGAGAAAAAACCTCTAATGTTTTAGAGCTTAAAACTGAAAGCTTCAAACTTACTAAATGTTTACATGAGTGATGCATGTTTAGCTGCAGCATTGCATCAAGTGAAGTGACTGAAGTAGCCCAGAACACCCATTGTCTGGCCTGACTTTAATCCTAATTCACATATGGAAGAAAACTAAACTTAAATGTTTAAACCCACACCTTTCCATTTTCTCTGCAAGTGCTGAAAAGAAAATATATTAAGAGTAGGATCTTTGAACTATGAATCTCATTTTTGATGTTTCAGAAAGGCATTATTTGGCCTGTCTGGCTACTATTCCATTGTAAAATGTGGTTAGGGACTCTTCTGCAAAACTTACATCATTCCAGAACAGTAATTTTTAAATGGGCCGTTTGGCATATATGTACCTAATATTTTGGTTGGTTTCACAGTCTTTTAAGTAGCCTGTTTTCTTTTGCAGTGAACCTGTGTAAGCTATCTTCTTGGACTTCTCTTTGAAATGTCTGAGAAGTAATTCTCAAAGGAAGTGGTATGCTGTTCTAAGAATTACATTTTGCATAGTCTGTGTAAAGGGACCACATGTGTATGTGCTTTAAATGTACAGCCAGTCATTATTTCTTTGTAATTTACACTTACTGCTACACTGTCACTGTAAAATACTATACAAGAACACAATACAAAGGTGCAATATACCTTAAATAAAACATGTAATGATGCAGAATGGATGCCTGTTGGGTATACTTGAAATGATCTAACAGAAAACTAAATGATCATGGTAAGGCTACCTTATTGGTGGGGTGGCAAGTGAAGATGGGAATACTTGTCTTTATAAAAAGCACATTTTACAAAATATATTGACGTTTTGATAATGTCATGTAATCTTGTATAAATCAACTGGCTTGGGATGTTTTGCTATACGCATGAAAGCAATAGAAACACAATTGAGGTGTTCTCATTCATGCGATAAGGAATCATTAAGCTGGAGCCGTTACGCTGTTTTCTGCCTCCTCCACAGTAGCAGGATGGTTGGAAAAATACCAACACTTAAGACTCACTGAGGAAATGCTTCTGTTAAATAATCATATGTGGCAGTAAGAAGAGTTTTGACAGAGATGCAGGATTAATGCTAGAAGTTTCCACCAGTTTTGGAAACTGGGGATTTTTGATAATTGTATTCTTTTCTGCCATCATACAGTAGCAAGTTATGTAATATAACAGCATTTTCTCTCGTCTGATCTCTGAACAGAGTTAAACAAATGGTGCCTGGTTTTATGCCCCCTCTATGTTTTCTCTCTTCTGTATATAGGAGTTGTAAATGGGAAATGCAGTCTCACAGGTCCTTCTAGGCTTTACTGTTACAGACTGTTACTGGCAAGGAAAGGGAGAATTGTCTGAACTCATTACATCAATCATTATAAAATTTGTGTTGAAGAACAATGTTTCAGAACTCTGAGGGACCTTGGCTAGATAGCTATGATTTCCCTGTGGTATGAAGGAACACTTGTTTATGCTTTGATTTGTGACTTCTCACAATAAGCGAAAAAGTGACAGGTGAAAGTTGTGATCAGCTAGTCACAAATCTGCTTTAGGTCTGAAATTTGAAGTTCTAGTGCATCAGACAATGAACAGTTCCTCAATGAACAAGGCAGGAGACAGGCTTCCCTCGCACAAGTATTATGTTCCTGCCCCACCTCAAGAGGCTTACAAATAAAAATTAAATGAAATCTGTTGCAGTATGAGAAAGCAGCAGATAACCTGTAATAAAGGCCACAAAAAAGTTTGTAAGTTAAAGGGAGAGGAATTACCCTAGGTAGTACAAAAATCACACATAAGGAAACGAGAACATTAGCATAACCTAAGAACACGAACCAACCTTAAGTAAACTAGGGTGGAGATGCAACTCATTCTCACCTTTCTGCAAGGTTATGTTACCATTTAGATAACCTGTCCTATGAGTTGACTTTAAGATCTGTTGGAGGTGCAGAGACCTGTCAAAGGAAGTAGCCTGGTTCTAGCAGCAGTCTCACACTAAACATCTGTATACTTTGCTTCAACACAAGCCATTAGCTGTACTAGATAGCTGCTTCTGCCCTTTCTTTCTCATTCTGCTGTCTGTTCCAACATGGGCAGCTTTCATCAATCCCATCCATTTGCCATGACAGTACTTTTTTGCTTCTCATTTTGAAGGACATCTGCAACTTTAGATACATACTACGCAGCATGCCCTGTCACTCTACAGAACTCTTAAAAATTGCTAACAGGACCCCCTAATGCTTGTGGTATGTTAGTATTTGAAATGAATCAGTGAATTGCAATGCAAGCCATAAGCACCTACCTTGCCTACATATTGAATGATGGATACCAAAGTTTACACAAGGTACAAATATTGTGCATTGTTGTCTTTTTTTTTTTTGTACCCACCATCTACATCTGCTTGTCATAGGACTTGTTTCTTTCAAGTACTCCACAGTCTCCCTCTCAGCCCAAATCCTGACCTCAAAAATAATTCTCATACTGTCATATTTACTATAGCATGTAACTCCTCCCATCTTTACTAGCCCCTTTTGTGATTAGTGTACAGTTGTACAGCAGCTCCCAGGCAAAGTAATACACTTCTATTAAGTTTTATTTAAGTTTATTAAACCTACTTTTCAGGCAGAGGCTTGGTAACCATGATGTTACATGAAAAGAGGACAGATGGGGAAACACAGATGCTTAGGCATAAGAAAGACTACAATGGTTCTCATCCTTAACTGTTTTAGCAATCTCATTTTAGTCATATCTGTAGTATTCTAGTCATGGAAACTTAATCTCCTGGTTTGTTTAAACCTTAACCTCTGCCAAAATAATTATTAAAGGAAGCTTTCAGTAGTAATGCAGTAGTTTTACAACAATTTCATATCACTAGCTTAGTAGTTCCCAGTGCAAGCAATCTTTGTCCTTAAAGCTTTTTGCTCTTGGCTTAATCTTAAGAGGAATTTATTTTCTTCACAGATCTTTTTATTCATTCACTAGAAATAACAGAAGTAGCAGCTCACCCTGTATTTAGCTGTTAGGTGACCAAAGCTTACAACAGTTCTGTTGCTGTATATGCAGGACTGCAAGAATGAATGACACTTAGGAATGTACTAAAGGTAAAAAGGTAACACTTTTAAGTGATTTTAAGCAGGAGCAGCATATCTATGGAGTAAAGTCGTCCTAGAAAGGTTCAAGAAAGAATACAATACAGAAAAAGTGTATTAAGAGCAACAAGCAGGATTTGTTCTGTAAGCTTTACTTCCATACAATTACACCTGGTACAGACTAAAGAGATACGTTAAGAGAAAACTTTTGCTGTTACTGTACTCTCAAGAAAGGCTTTTTTATTGGAACAAAAATCCTTACTGTACAGAAAACAAGAGTCTGTGTAGCTTAATGAACAACATGGCCTGTTCCCATAGGCCACAGACTTCCTTTTGAAGTCCACAATGTGAGTATGTGCATGCTGGTTAGCAGTCAAATTACACATTTGAAGCAATAGTACACTATCAAGTTTGCTATTACAAGGACAGTGGGTATTCCAAGAGCCGACACCAACAACTCATATTCTACCACTTAACTGTAATGGAGAACTTCAAATACACCTTCTGTGGTGTCATCTGCATCACTGCAGAAAGACTGTCCATTAAATATAGAATTTGCTTCTGTTCATCACTGTATAATGAGTACAGTAATATAAAACACATCGTCTTAAATGTGTACATCTGTGTAAGTCCATATTCAAAAAATAACACTAGCTGTATGTATTTACTTGTATTAGGGCTGAAAGCTGTCACAATATAACATAAGTCAAAAGCTTCCTGAGTTTTCTACGTATTGCCAATCCTTAGTTTCACAGTGCAGAGATTACTAGTAAACACATTCATAGCTCATATTAACAGGAACAAGAAGTTTGGAACTTTAAGGCTGTTTACAAAAAGTTTTCCTACAAAGTCGTCATAATATGAATCTGTTCAAGTGCTATTAAAGCTGACTGAATAAAGTGTATCTTCTTCATAACTAAAAATGATTATACTTCAGTTACTCTTGATTTTTCACCTTATTGATCAGAAACATGCTAGAGTGGGATTTAAGGCAAATACATGTATTAACTTAAAAAAATCATCAGTCTCTTGCATTAAGCTGCTGGGCAAATTAGTACAGCATTAGAACAGAAAATGAAAAAGGATATTAAATATGTAGGAAATTTATTTCCTACTTAAAAATCTATACAAGTTATAGCAACATTAGGCAATTAAGAGAAAACCCAAAGGTAATTTATATTAACTTACAATAAACATATTAGAGATGAAGTACCACTCACAGCAAAAGGAATGTAGTGAGACTGAAGTTTAATATCTAGCATAGTTAGGAAACTTGACTTCTAGTGAAACAACAACGGAATGCCGATTTCATAAAAATATACACATATAAAAGTATCTTTGTGCATGAATTCCAGAACAGTTTCTCCAAAGTAGTGCTTCTAGAACTTTCAAGTTTTAATTATATTCAAAGTATTTATCACTTGAATAAAGTTGGCAAATTATGGTTTTACTTGACACCTTCCTAAACAGAAGGTGTCACTAATTCAATAATGGGTCACTCATGAATGGAAATTTTTCTTTTGCTCCCCCAAGAAAGCAGCAGAATATTACAATTTTAACATAGAGTGGAACCCGTTTGTTATTTTACCTACTACACCTTCCCCATCCTTCCATAGAGCAAGCTAGTCAAAAGAAATTTGGCCAAAAAAATGATTTAAGTCAGCAACAAGATGAGCTGGGTTTCGGTTTCCGATGAAGGTTTACTGTATCCGTTTGAATAAAGTGATCTGATCTATCTTCAGACGCTAGAACTCTTCTGACGGCTTCTTCAAAGGCTGCTGCAACATTAGTAGCATCTTTCGCACTGGTTTCAAAATAGGGATGGTTGCCATTATTTCTGCACCAGTCTTGGGCTTCCTCTGTTGACACTTGCCTTTCATCGATATCAATTTTGTTACCCAGTATCACAAATGGAAAACTTTCAGGCTCCTTGACATCTGCATAATAAATGAATTCTTTCTTCCAGTTGCTTAAGTTTTGGAAGCTCTGAGAGTCATCCACGCTGAAGGTTAGAAGGCAACAGTCAGAACCTCTATAGAAAGGAGTCCGCAAGCTCCTAAAACGTTCCTGACCTGCTGTGTCCCATATCTGCATTGTAACAAAATGTCCATCGACTTCCAACTCTTTATTTAAGAATTCCACACCTATTGTATGAAACAGCTGTGCATCAAACTTGTTGGTGACATATCGGTTCATAAGGGAACTCTTCCCAACTCCACCATCTCCTAGCAGTATTACTTTAAGGAGTGATGATTTTGCTGCCATTGTTACAGGAATATATTCTCCTTGTTTCCTAGACCTGTAAAGATTAAGAAAACCATTAAAAAGGAAAGAGTTACAAGCAGAAAATTTTACTCACATGAATATCTAGAAAGCATGAAAGTCCACCAATATCAAGTTTAATGTACAAAAGCAGGAGGACTATGCTATACAGGTGTAGATACTCATAGTAAAAACACACACTTAAGAACACCATGTGTTTAAGAGGTATCTCTTCCACTGACTGCCGTCTGCATGTCAGTCACAGGCAGTTCACTTCACCAATTACTGGTCTGTCATTTCAAACACCCAGAACTCCCAAACCCTTCAACGTGCACAA